GCCCGTGCCGCCAGGCCCTACAATAGCTGAAGTTCCGAAGGCAGGGGAAAGTGATCATTCCAAGCGGAGTAGCGGAGTCAGGCGGCCAGGCATGGATGGGCCAGGCATCTGGGTCGTCTCCCTTTTCGCGCGCGCGCGCGCGCAGCTCCCCTTTCTTTCGTGCTTACTCCGCCTACTCCGCTTTGGCTTCACTCCGGTGCCTTCTCTGGGGCTCTAGGGAAGAACAGCCGACGAAATCTGTCCAGCCAGGTCCTCCGCAGAGAAGATGCTCTCCTGGGCACGAGTTCGGAAGCCTCCCTGACAAAAGCACCTCACGTAGAGCCTCCAAACCGAGAAAATGGGGTCAAGCCTTTGTATTTCCGGAAGCCAAAACCGGCAAGTTCAGGCCGAGTGTCCAGGTACATCCAGCCGCGCTGCACCTCTCCGGAATTCAATGATTGCACGTTGCCCCAACACTTTGTGCTGCAGGCTTGTGCTAACACTACCTGAAGCAGGCTTTAACATGCGGTCCGCCTGCAGCCACTCGTCGATGGTGTCAGACGCAAGCCTTCCGGGTGCGTCTCAGAACGAGGCAAAGAAAAGCCCACGCTGTGTCTCCCCAAGCTCCGGAAACAGACCTGCCTGATCTTAGTCTCCCAAGTCTCCACACGATCGCGGATTCCACGAACAAAGCGTGACCTGAGGAGTGCGCTCCGCGCTTCCCAATATCTAGTCCGAACTTGCTCCACGCCCAGATCCAGAACACAGGGTGAGCCCCTCGAATCCGTTACAGTACCACCAGCGCTCGAGGTGCAGGCCCCATCATGGTCTGAATTTGCACCGAGTGGTCCTCCGGCCGGAGAAAACGAACTGAACTAGGAAGCCTGACTTGAACGAAGACGGCTGCCCATGGCACAAGAGAATTAAGAAGGGCACATGGTTCCCCCACAACATGAAGCCCCAAGCGTCCTCCAGCTGAGTGATGATGTCACCAACGTCCCCAAGAATCCACAGGTCCTCAAGGCAGGAGTCCGAGTCGGCAGCTAACAGGGAGCCTCGCCCCGCTGCCCCAACCGGTCCCGCTGGTTCCGATGGTTCTGGACCGGCAGCGGCATGTCCTCCCAGGCCGCGATGACCTCCAAAGGAAGGAAAAGCTTTGGCGAAGTTTTCACACTAGATGTTTAGCGTTTGCTCCAGGAGCTTCAGAGAGAAACCCGGGGTTCACGGAGCGGTGAAATGCGGTGGCATATGATGGCACTTTTCGGCTTCGACCTTCGCCTTGAAATGCAACCGCTCGCACTGCCTTCTCGAGCTGCTGCTCGAGGGCAAACTCTCCGCTGGCGATGCCGCTAATTTCAGCAATGAACTCCTGGCCAATAACCGCAGAAATCTTCGAAGGCACTCAGAGCTCCAGTACTGTCCAGAACTGAGGTCCTTGTGGTCCTTCTTGTCGAAGACCTTGGCCCCAATCAAGGTTGTGAGGGACACGGCGGTTTGCTTGAGGTCGATCTCCTGCCACTTGTGGAAGGTCCGCATCTTGAGGATGGCTCTGCTACCGGCACAGCCAGTACTGTCGCTGGTTTACTTGTCGCCGTTCTCTGCTTAGATCTCGATACTTCGTGATTGCACGTCGTGTGCACACATGAGGACAAACACGGCGAGACAGGGACAGGGACAGAGAGAGAGANNGAGGCAGAGAGAAAGAGAAAGAAAGAATGCAAGCAGCAGTCCTGACGGATTCGCAATCTGTGGCGATCCCTGGCCGCGCAAACATGTCTGACAGGAAGCTTTGAGCCTTCGACGTGCGAGCATTTTGCAGCACTTCAAGAGCCGTCGTTCAGATGAAAGACCCTTTGGTCTCCGGCTGCCGCGTATGACATGACCCAGCTCGATCTGGCAGAGTGGTTCCGTGGGAAGAGCCGTGCCTCAAGGCCGGGTTCCCGAGGTCCAGGATGCAGGGCATGTTGCCCTTCCACTCGTCGACCTCGGACCTGAGACGAGCTCGCTCCCGGATGCAAAAACAGAGAGCCACTTTGCGGAAACTTCGAGGCGCCGGCCGGATTTCCTGGGCCACCTTGTCACCTTCCAGGCTCCGCCTGAGAGGCAAAAGGATTCCCGAGTGAGATCCAGTAGCGGTCCTGAGTCCTGAGGAGCTGTACCAGGAATCCTCTTCGAGTCTGAGCCCCCGAGCGTCAGCTGATACGCAGTCTTCGAATACTCCAGGACCTGTCAGCGCCCAGAGCCGAGTGGCATACCGAGGATTGGGGTCCGGGTGTCTGCCAAGCGCTGGTGCCACGAAGGGCTGCACTCATCTTGGAACGGGCTTTGAGCCCATAAAAAGGGCTCGCCTTTTTGTTCATCTCCTCCACATTCAGCTGGGTAATGTCGGTCTTCTTCCAGACATCCAGCTGCGCCTATCCGACACACGCAATTTCAATTCACAAGAAGCCGAAGCTCCCAGTTCCGCCTTCCAGTCACTGATGAGGTTCCACAGGCGAGACTTCTCGGTGAAGAGCTGCTTCGCCTTTGAGCACCACACCGTCAGAACCCGCGCGAGCGAACCCAGCCAAGCCTTCTCGACCTCCTGGAACTCAAACTGCACCGGCACGTAGAATAGAGCCTGGCTAGGGGCTGCACCGCCCTGCTGCGACCTTCTGCTAACAATCGCCGTGAGTTCCAGCACGACAGCATGCTGCGGTCTTAAAAGGCGCCCTGCTCTCACACGGCTCACCCACCTGATACTCGTTGTAGTTTGCAGCCTTTTCTTCAAGCTTGGTGACGGCGACCTCCAAAGACATCGAGGCTGGATCGGAGGACAGCAGCAAGACCACTTGCATGAAGGATCTGCTGCTGGCCCCTCCTGGATTGCGGTCAGCTCCTCCAAGACGACTTCGGGGCTATGGATGTTGTCCTGCATCATGGGGGGCTGCTCCGCTCAAACTTGGTGTCCATGCGATAGCCGCAGACGGCAGAGACTCTGAGAGTTCTTCGGGTGCCGACCCTACAAAACGGACAGGACACCTCTCTGCGCTCCCTGTAGAAGAAAGGGGTGCGGGAGAACGCGCTCTGCTCCTGCGAGACGAAGCTGCCGGACCGCAACCTCGGGTTTTCCGCGGACCGCTGTCATCTCAAGTTCTCCATCGCCTCTCTAGCCACACGTTCTCAACTGCACAACCTGTCTGCAGCCGGGAACTGCTCCGTGAGCTTCTTCGCCTCCTCCTCCGCGAGCTGCGAGACCTGAAGAAGGGTCACCGGCTTCGGCTTGAAAACTTTACGGCTTTACGGGCTCAGGCTTTCGCTGCAAACTGGGGCTCCAACGCCGTTCAAGCTCTCAACCATCTCATCGGTCTTCTCCCGAATGTAGGCGTTGCCCTCTCAGTTTCAATCCAGATTTCTCTATTCGGGCATCGCCAGGCACTTCAGGTCCATTCGACATATAGAACGTCACGACGCGCTCGAAACCTCGATGAGCTTGCGGTCAGCAAAGTCCGACCCCTTCGTCTGTAGGAACTCCATCTGCACTGTGTCCTTGGTAGCTCATGCGCGGTCTCGTGCAGATATGTGGCTCCACTGCAAGCTCACTCAATTGCAGAGCTACCTGACGCCTCGGCCCCGGCCCAAAAAAACGCCTGGGCTTGGAACGTCTCCACTGACGCGCACGTTGTACTGCCGGAGTAGCTGGTACATGGACTCAACCTGCGAGTGGATAGAATCTCTTCTTTGGCGTGCGATTGCAGTGGGAGTTTTGATCCGTAACGTGTGGCGAGAGCTTCGAGACGCGAGCTGTCAAGGTGAACCCCTCATGGACTCTGGCTATGCTGGCTCGAGAAAAGCTCGTGCAGGAGAGCACTCGCAGAACATAGTCTCCCCTGCTTCATGTTTACTGACTTTGGAGGTCAAGCTTGAGCAAGCAATGCTCCGAAGATTGCGTAGATGGGAAGTCCGAACGGACAAGCAAGCCACCGAAAAGAAACAGAAAGCACCCACCCATCATCCGAGAATAGAACGTGCGCAGAATTGCCTCCTCCCTCATTTCCTCCATCTGAGCTTCCTGGTTCTTGATGTCGTTGAAGGCCTCTGCCAAAATTCACGTTGTTGAGGAAGAAGCCTTGTAATTATGCTCAAATCCGCAAAGACCAAATCTATCTGCCCTGATTGACGACCTTTTCCTAGTAATGGGCCAGGAGTGCCCTTTGACCGCTTAGGCCATCGGAAACCCGACAAGAAAAAGGCAGCTTGTCTTTTTTCTGCATCGAACGCATGCTGCGCAGCCCGCAGCTCGGCGGTGATCTCGTGGTCCTCCGACGGGTCAAAGGGCTGGAGAGAAATCAGACATGCCAGCAGATCACCGAAAACCCGGGCATGCCGCTTAGAGTCACCACGCGCGATCTCCTCTCCTTGAGGCCCGCGCAGAGCAGCGTGTGCCCGTGACTTGTCCGGCTCTGCGTAGCCTCGACAAGCCCGAAGCAGGTTGCGATGACAGACATGTGAGACCTCACGCCCTCCACACATCATCCACTCATGCTTTCACGGGGTTAGCAGTTTTTTGAAGAGTGCAAGCAGCTCAAGCATCCTTCACGGAAAGTGTGAGCCATCAGATTCCTGACAGCTCGAGAGCTGCCTGCCCCGTGGGGTCTACCTTCGCACTGTGGATTTGCCGGCGCCACGCTGTGACCTGCACAAGCAATGCTTGGTCTGAAGGTTCGCTGCCTTTCGCTGCTTGGGAGGGTCGACGGTTGGGAAGGCAGTGAATCATAGTGAACCCAAGAAATCAAAAAAATAGTAAATCACGATTGAATTTTTCGGTCTTGACCCACCTTGGACCCC